TGCTGAACCAGCTCCTGAAGGGCTACCGGGAAGACATGCAGCAGGCAGCAGCCCCACCAGCTCCTGAGGGCACCCCTGTCTAGGCATCCCCCCCTGCCCTTAGGGAGGCCCTGTGTTTGCAGAGGGATGGGGCATTAGCTGCCCACATACCAGCCAGCTTGTTGCTGTCCTGGAACACAGGAATGGAAGATGTCCCGGGGGGGCTGAAGGTCGATTACTAACTTTGAATTGCCATGACAGCAGCACAAGCTCAAAGTTTACTTGCTTCTTCCTGTGGAATAGAGACTCAGCAAGAGAAGGAAATCAAGCTGGGAACCCTAATGGTTTATACTGTCTGTGTAAATAAACTCTGTTCACAAAGTGAGTTTGCTTCTATTTGGATTATATTCCTATGCACGTGAGTTAATAACTTATTCTAGCAAAGACTGGGTTTGTTACAGCTTCTGGTCCAACAGCCATATTCTCTGGGGTAGCTCCACTTGACTGTGGCAGAGCCACAGTGTTTTCTAGAAGCCAGAGTACAACCTTTTAGGGCAGGAAATTCAGTGAAAAGTCATGTTGGTTTTGCTGTTTCTGAAGCACTGAATGCAAATGGAATGGTAGCACTGAGATAAGTCTTAAAAGAGGTAGTACCAAAGCAACTTGTGTTATGCTGAGGCAATGCAGACAGGAACAATAGTTGTCTTTACCAAGAGCTTGGGAGACATCTCTGCCTCAGGTGTGGGTTGCAAGAAATTAGAACAAAAAGGGGTAGTTAGCAGTACTTTTTTCAAGAGTGGTAATAATTATGGGGTCAAATAGCTTTGTCTTTGATTTCAAGTACAGCTAGTACTTGAAAGTTGTCGCTGTAGCTTCTGAGTGAAAACCAACAAACATGGGTTCCTTCCTCCTCCCAGGTTTCACAAACTTAGAGCCAATGAGTCCTCATATGTAGTGAGTTAGCTGTATGGAAGACAAAAAATTCTGAAAAAAATCAAGTGATGCTGAAATCAAGAACTTAATAGTAGGTAATTTCCTCTTCAGGACACTGAACTCGCAGTACTGCTGATTCATTTATTTTCAGTGAGATGTGAAAGATGCATGGTGCTGTTTAAGGAGGAAGAAAATACAGTCAAAGTATTCAAAAGTCTGGTCAGACAGCCCTTAATCTTTATGTTTCTAATGACCTTGAAACTACCCTCTTTGCACTTGACCTAGCATCTTGTTCAAACAGGTGTTTTCCCCCTCAATAGAAGAGATGAACCAAACTGGTGTTGCTGCAGTGCTTTACACATTATTTAAAAATTATGTCAAGGCTTTAATAAAATACTCAAGAACAATACCTTCTTTATATTTCTTCCTTAAACTGGTCCTTTTTTCCTAATAAACTGAACTGTAGTGTATTACCAGCAATTGATGGCCCAGAATGCTGACTAGCCCTCTGGAGATTTTCCTGGTGCTTCTGGAGCAGGGCTGCTGCCCAGGTTTTTCATTGTCGCATTTCAAAGTGAAAAGGCTACTACATACTTTGAAGGCAAAGGCAAGTGCTGTTTCATCTGCATAATCTCTTAGTATTCAGATTAGAAGTGTAAACTCTGATAAGCATAAATCTGTTCTCTACCAGTTAGTTCAGGAAATTAACTTTTCTGTGGCATTGATGAGAAACAGAGATGTAGGATTTTAACCACAATCATTTTCCCTTCATCTACCCACCTGTCACTTTCTTAGAGGGGATGGGACAATAACTGTCAAACTATTTTGGTAGAAAATATAAAGATACAGATTACAAAACTGTGTCAAAAGAATGACTCTGGCCTTGTAGCACTAATTGAAAACAGTGTTGTGCCCATGTTACCGTTATCCAAAACATCCATTTTGATCAAAATGGCCCAAAAGCAAAAGCAGGTGGACATTTATGTAGACCAATAAGTGTGAAAACACTGATTTAGAAAGACAGTTGGATAAAAACATTTAATGAGGGAAAGCAAGTCAGGCTCTCTTCTGTTTGTCCTTAAATTAATAATCTGAGGGGGGGAAAAATGTAGAAAAGGCAGAAGTTTCTAAACCAAGTTGGGGAAAAGTCTTCATACAGATTAACACAAATCCTATTTTTTGCAATATCCATATTAAGATTAGGACAGCTGACAAAGCATTCATAAGTTTACAAGCATGGTGTGTAGTCCATCTTAGTGCAACTTTCCTATTGTATGTCCTCAAATGTTTCCTAAGATTGTGTAGACTTCTGCTAAGAGGGGCAGTTGTCCTGCCAGTCCATCTTGTACTCAGGTGGGTCAGGCTTTCAGCTTCCTGCAGAGGAAAACAAAGGGAAAGTTCACTGTTCATAAATGAAACCTGTTCTTACTATTATTCCCTTGTGTCCTGGCTGCCCAAGTCAACTCTTCTCCATCAGCCTTAAAACCATGTAATACATGCAAATACATGGGTCCATATGATAATTTTTATGTTCTGCCCCCTTCTTACAGCCCCTTCCACTTCTGGAGGAAAAAAAAAAAAGAGGCCTACTTGACTGCAGCTGTGAGACTTTGGTACCAGTCATTAATATCTTGCTGATTGTTGGACATCAACAGCAGTGTCTTGCGTGGAAAGGAAAGCTGAAAGGCAAACAGAATCTGGCACCACTTTGCCAAAGCAACACCACTGATAAAAGGAGAGCCATCACCACTAACATACTCAGTACAGCATGTAGATTTCCACCATATTTTTCTTCCCCAGATAGAAAAATTTAGCATTGATACTGGGAGAAGACAGGCTGGACAGTACAGAGTAAGTGCCAGTCTTGTCCATTCCTCCCAGCCACAGATGACCGCTCACTTCGACTTAATAGGTTGTTTGAAAGTGAGCAATTAAGCAGCGCTTCATACGGTTTTCTCCCTTATTCCAGTCTGCCCCTAGGGGTCCTTCCACTACCACTAGCTACAGATCACAGCTTGCCAGAGTCGTTCCTCATCTTAGCTGACGAGGAACAATCTAACGCAGCCCCTGGGTGCTGCAGCCTAGTAAGACCTGAACTTGAAACCCTTACCTAAGGTATGAGTTCCAGTCAAACATCCTGCAGCCCTCAGGGAATTAGATGCACAAACAATATGTGTTGTGATAATACATCTTTTAGCATTCTGTCCTTCAGGGTTTTCTATAAGCTCAGTCCACAATGAGTGTAATGCTGTGCATTCATTGTCATGTGTAATGTTGAGTATTCATTGTCACATGTAATGCTAAGTATTTGTTGTCACATGGTTGTGGGGCCATCCCCCCAAAGATGTGGCTCTGATGAGGGCATGTCAGTCTTATGGGACCTTCCTCACCTGAGTTAAGTGAAGCAACCAGCAACTTGTACCTGAGTTTTTAGGAGGGTCTATACCACTCAAGAAGAGAAGGGTTGCCCTGACTCAGACTAGTTCATTGCATTTGCTGTTGTTTGCACTCTCATCCTCTCAGTCCTGCTGCTGCTGAGACACCTAAAGACCTGCTTCATGAGTCTGATGTTGATCCTTCTGCCAGGCAGAAGTGGGAAGACTTACACTGAGGAGCCCTCCCTGGCTCTGTGTGTGGCCGAACACTTTATCCACTGTGCACTGGTGAAGTGGGTAGACAGTTTGTTTGAGTTCAGCCGGTGCAGTGGGTGGCAGGGCTTTGTCGCAATCAAGATATCAGAAAAAAGGAAGAACATCCTATGCTTCAGTTCTTCTCCCTTTGAAGGCACTATCAGAAGCCAGCCTTCCCGGATATACCAGCGCCCTAGGCATGCAAGGGAAATAAAGACAGTTGTCAGGTCATCATCAGAAAAAAAATAAAGGGTGTAATAAGACAAACAGGACTACAGAGAGCTACCCTTGCAGATTTCTAGGTTTTACATCAATTCCAGCCACTAGAAGGCACTGGCCAGCTAACCAGCACCAACAGCACCCATGCAAAAGTAATCAGCCCAAAACTTTTAGTATATGAGGAGCAGACTGAAGTTGTCACAAATCTGCTACGTTAATTAATGGGGTATTATGAAGTGCAAGCCTGTTTAAAGAGGCCAGAACAAAAAGATGCTTTGAAAATAGTATGCATACCTTTAAATTAACATAAGCCTTCAGAAAATGTACCATGAACTATCTTAAATTGTGTTGCCCAATTGTTTGTCATTAGTGGTGAAACGGCAGTTAGCCTAAGCTTTGAACATTTATTATTTTTCCCTTGTTTCGTTTGCTTGTGCCAATGAAAAAAAAAGTTTAACAGGTAATCTAACTATATACAGACCTTCAGACAGAATATATGATCAGATTACAGAATGCCCTCAAGTTACACCAGGGAGGGTTTAGGTTGGATATTAGGAAGAATGTCTTTACTGAAGGGGTTGCCAAGTATGGGAACAGGCTGCCCAGGGAGGTGGCTGAGTCACCATCCCTGGAGGTGTTTAAAAGACAGGTATATGTCATGCTTAGGGACATGGTCTAAGTGTTGGACTTAATAGGGCTGGATTGATGGACTCAATGATCTTAAAGGTCTTTTCTAACCAAAACCATTCTATGATTATATGAATTTGGATTACTGTTCTAATGAGAAGACAGCGAATAGGATACAAAATAACATATTAAAAGGAAGGTCTGAATAGGCAACCTTATCAACCTTCTCTTACAGAACAGGGTCCAGTTACATCTACCTGTGAAATTAATGCAATAAATCAAAAGGCAGAGAAATCAGCAGGGAAAAAAAAAAAATCAAAACAATTCAATAAACCTAGCTGTAAACAACAATTAAAAATGGCATCTACACAAAATAGAATAATTAAAGCAGTGCCTCTAACTAGAAGAATTATTGCACAAGATAGCCATCTACTCACAGAAATTATGAAGATAACTGCCAGTAAGATTATTTATAAAAATTTAAAGCCATAAAAAGGCGTGGCCATCTGGCCTGATCTGGGAAACACCAGCCAGAGAATTTCACCCACTGTTTTTCATGTCTTAGGTTCTGGCTGAGCTAGTAATTACCTTTTAGAAAACAACACTGTTTTGTTTTAATTATGGATTGTGTCTTACTTAGTATGCTACAGTCACAAAATAAGAGGCATGTGAATTCCTGCATAACTTACTGCACAGGAACCACTCCTCTTATCTGAATAAGAAACAGAGAGAGAAGGGTAAGGTGCAGGAAGCAGTCCAAGTCTAAAAAACCAAATTGAAGGAAGGTGTCAGCAGTACAGGGCTGGACTGGGAACTGCTTCCCTCAGGCTAAGCTGTGATCAGCCTCCATGGCATACAGCCTGAGAGGGACTGTGCTGGAGGTCTTGGGATATAGATCTGTGTTCAGGATTCCCAGGGGCACACGATTTAAGAAATTATTGTGAAAGGAGGGCAAGGAAATACCCCCAGGGAAGCTAGGGATGATGGAACAGTGTGCCATGTTAACGGGGGCAAGTCTGGCTAAGATTATATTTGCCCTGTATGTGGAAGGCAGCTATAAAAGCAGGGCCTCTCTTCATTGGGAGCAGCTCATCTCAGAGATACTGCCAAATGTGAGATACACAACTCCAAAGCTATCCCTTTTTTCTGCATATATAGCATTATGTCTTCTCACTTCTTCCCTCCTAGTAACAGGATAGAATATTAACAGTTCTGCAAATGTTAGCTTGTTTCTGGAAAGCTGGTCAGCACTAGCAAGCCCCTCCTGCCTCTTACTTTTCTGCTTCTCACATCCAATAGTACCTATTTGACTCCAGCTAATGGAAAACATGACCATCATAATTCTCTGTCCTAAATAATGGAAAGGTGTCTATATACCCTCAACACTTGTCCTACTTCACATCTCAGAATATTCAGAGACAAAACAAAGAAGTGGACCCAATGCTTTCAAACTATGACCTTCTCTGGTCTAGCTATACTGTTTTGGGATCTTGGGGTTTTTTTGTCATGAGGTTATCATATTAGTTCTGTCCCCAGTGTGTCCAGGCACCCCTAACAGATGCTCATGCTCAGCATAAGCAGAGCATACCTGTCTTAGCTCCCTTTCAAGCTAGCATCACCAAAAGAATTCTAAGAATGGGAAAGATAACTGTAAATTAATCTGCCCACTGATTGAGCACTTTTGAGAATGATAACCTCTGATAAATAACCTCTTTTTCTACCTGTGCTGGTTTGGCCAGGATAGAGTTAATTTTCTTAATAGTAGCTAGTATGGTACTATGTTTCGGGTTTGTGCTGAAAACAGCATTGACAAAGCAGGGACATTTTTTGTTATTGCTTACACAGCATCAAGACCTTTTCTGCTTCTCACCCCACCCCACCAGTGAGTAGGCTGGAGTTAGACAAGAAACTGGGAGGGGACACAGGTGGGACAGCTGACCCCAGTTGACCAAAGGGATATTTCACACCATATAACATCATGCTCAGCAACAAAACCTGGGGGGAAAAGCAGCAAGAGGTGGATGTTCAGAGTGATGGCCTTTGTTTTCCAAGGTAACCATTACACATGGTGGAGCCCTGCTTTCTTGGAGATGGCTGAACACTTGGCTGACAGTGAATGAATTCCTTGTTTTGCTTTGCTCGTGTGTGTGGCTTTTGCTTTACTTAAGCTGTTTTTATCTCAACCCACAAGTTTTCTCACTTTTACCCTTCTGATTCTCTCCTCCATCCCACTAGGGAAAGCTTTTTTTTTCCACCCAAAAATCCACATGTATGAATTACAACCACATTCACAAGTACCTGGAGGTATGCCTTAGAGACACCTCTCCAACCACAGCACTTTCTAGATGACCTTTGCAATAGCAGTGTTTAGTGAGGGCACAGGTGAAGCCCCAAGTGGCCATTTCATAACTGTGCAGACTGACACATTTCTCATGACATCCCATATGTAACTTGGAGTGTGCTCTGGACACAGAGTATATGCAGTCATACAAGCGCTCCTAAAGATCTAATCAGATGATCTTTCATGCCAGCGACTGTGACTTTATATATCTCAGCTAATGACACAAATACTCTAAATCCTGGCACATTTTAACACTACAAATAAAAGAAGATTCTTCATGTACAGGGTGTAAGCAGAAGTCCATGAAGCTTGTAGCTTAAGGTAAAAAACAACACACTCAAATCTATGAAGTAGTGAGACAACCAGTACTTGCACTCTTCCAAAATTATTTAATGTCTTTCTCTCATTCTTACCCAGGACTTATACCCCTGATCTCCTTGGGTTCCTGTAACTAACTTTCTGGTTATATGTGAACAGCTCCTGTCTGAATGTCAGGCAATTTAAGCTGCTGCTGATCCTTACCAAAAAATTCTTAATTAAAAAAGTGCATTAATTACTTAGTAGATACATTCCTTCACCACCTATCTATGGAATTTGGGCCTGAAGGGGAAAATGGGTTAATATGAGTTGAGTCAGAGATGAAGGCAAGCATATATCCAGTTATCTCAGCTCACAGAAGAAAAACAGAGCTGTCAATAAGACCTACCTGGAGTCAACACCCGCGTCTTCTGTCCTTTGAGCAGTTTCTGAACCCGAAGTAGCTGCAATGAGTTCTCCCTCTTACAAATGATGTCTTGGACCCACTGAGATACCTCAGAAACAGATTTCACAGCCTCTGAAATTTTATCAGTACATTCTGAGGTTATCTCAAACAAGTATGTATCACACCTTATCTATCTTGCTGTGAAAATATAAGATGAAATTAAGAAGCAAATGTTTTAAACCACATATCATCAACAGATTTACTCAGTAATTTCAGTTTGGAGATTGGACTAGATGACCACCAGAGGCCTTTCCCCAACCAACACTTCTGTAGTTCTAGAAAACATTTATTTGCTAATGAAACATTACAGAGGAATAATTTCCTGGATTTGGAAGCATAACCAGGTAAAATGCCTTACGAGTGGTGTTAACTGCTGGTAGATATGGCATGAAGGATGTGAATTATCCTAGAAAATTGAGGCAGGTGACCAATAGAGTCATAGAATAGCTTGGAAGGAACCTTTAGAGATGATCTAGCCCACCCCTCTGCCATGGGCAGAAACATTTCACCAGACCAGGCTGCTCAAAGCCCCATCCAACCTGGCCTTGAACACCTCCAGTGATGGGGAATCGACAATTTCCCTGGGCAACCTGTGCCAGTGTCTTGCTGCTCTCACTATAAAAAATAGTGCTGCTGTTTCCCCAGCCTAACCCCTAGGCCACTTTCCCAGTCAGTTACTCTACATTTTTATTCCCAGTGTGTTCTCAGGGACATCTTGATCAAGATGGAGAAGGGAAATAGGAATCCACTAGAACCCCAGAGAGAAGAACATTTTTCTTCCTGTGGAAGTAGAAGAATCCAAATATTATCATAAAGAGGCCAACACTGATCCAGGTGCCAGCATCTACAGGTCTAACCATACTTGCAAGTTTCTGGTACTCAGCACTGTCTGGGCTGGTGTTCTCCAGCAGGTCTCTGAGGAAATGCTTGTACCTAAGACAGAGAGAGCAGGTTTGTTTCACAAAAAGATACCAGGAACAGTAGCATCTCCTATTAGTGACAGAATGATGATCACCACTCTGCCAGGAGATGAAGCACCCACCTCTAAGTCTAACCAAGCAACTGTTGGTCACAATTCTTCAATCACATTCATTTTATCTTCAAATTTATCAACTAAATTAACCCAAGTATTTCAAACATTTGCAAGTTTTGGGCATTTCCTGGGAATCTGATAAAAGCAACCTCACATATTATTTAAGTTCACGGGACTCTGAACATTCACATAAAAATGCCTTCAGTAACAAACAAATTTATCTTTGAACTATTTTCTTTTTGTCTGAATGACAGCATTCATACCATGTTTCCTGCTCACACAAGAAAATAAAGGCATTTCTATAAGGACAGGAGCCACCTTTTTCTTTTTTCCTCTCCAGTCTTTACTGGAAAGGATCAGATCTCTACAAATGCTTTCCCTCATAAAAGTCAAACTATTTTCTGTCCAAAATGACAGAAGAATGATCACATTACATAGATTCATGAACTGGCAGAAGTCATATGACCTGCAGTATACATAACAGAATTTTGAAGAAGCTTGACTATGAAAGAGTTGATTAATAAAAAAAAATAGACCTTCTGTTAAAAAAACACCATTTTTCCAAACAGTTGGACAGCACCAAATATACTGTTATTTTACAAATTTAAAGGAATGATCCAAAGACTCACAGTAAAAAGAAAGCTTACATTTTTATCTGCCAGGCTGATTAAAAAGGTTTCATAAAGCTGCCTGAAAGACTGTGTTATGCTCACCTCCAGTTATTTTCAAAGAAATGAGGCTCTCAATCTCTCAAATTTGCTTTAGGGTGGACAAGACCATGGTTGAAAAGCAGCTACTTGATCTGTAGCAGTTCCCAGCAAACCACCTGTGTTACCCACCTACCCTCCCCAAGAAAGGGCAGCAGCCCCTGAGTGCATCCAATCCAGCATTTGCCTTGTGCAGTCACCCTGTCTCTTCAAAGGGGAGATGATGCCTCAAGGGGAATAGGCACCAAGTCTGAGCAAAGGATACAGCCCTGATAACCAGAGAATGGAGACAAGCTCCCCAGAGTTCATTAATCTCATCTACAAGAGAGGACAGGCACAGTGCTCCATGTCAGCAACCTACACAAAAGCAGAGCAAGACCAACTCTGGCAGAGAGCAGCACTTCCGCAGTACTTCAGAGAGCTGCTTTTGTTCAGGGTCTAATTTCAGTAGCCTACCATGATGACAGATTTGTTTCTTATATCCTCCAATTTTGAGACACATTAAGCAACTTTACCTCCCATAGGGGCAAAGACACTGTTATGTTCCCTTTTCCCTTCTCATACTAACACCTTGAAGACTCAGAATTGCTTACTTACTGGTGCAGCCTCTGCAGGGGCAAAGGAAGCAGATCCTCTAGCTTCCTGCCCTGAAACTGAGGTCGAGTCTCCTGAAGTTTCTTAAACCGTCGGAATGACTTATTTTTCCTCAGTTGCTCCTGTGTGCAGCAGAAGATAAACTAAATAAATAAATCTGTTCTAGTCTTCACCAGAGCTTGGAACTCTTAAACTTATGAGTTTAGGACTCCAGTCCTAAAGGCAAGCATCAACAACTTCTTCTGTGGCCATGGGTAAGCCATTCACTTTCTCCTGATCACCATTTGTAGCAAGTAATGGAAGCAATATTCCCTCATCATACATGCACAGCAGCACAAATCTAGTATACTCAGCAAATGAAAATAAAGAACAGAAGGTTGACCCAGATAGGAAAACAAGGAATCCATCTGTGGCTTTTTCCAAGTGATTTCAAGACAAAGCAATGCAGCCTTGCATTCCCATTGCCTCAAGGCAAGTATCCAAGTTGGCTTTTTTCCCTTGGGACATCAGAAGTGTGAATATATGCGTGCAAACAGAACAGAGGGAAAACATCCCAGTATATTGTGCAGCTGGGAACAAGTGTGGACAAAAGCCGGAAGTCAAGTACTTTGAATTCCAGGTACAGCTTTCAGGACTTTGAAATAAAGATATATCCTTCTGAATTTTCTTGGAAGACAGGTTGTATTTAGAGAGGTAGGTGGGAAGGAAAAGTTTGTCTTCTACCATAGAAAAATAAAATAGGAAGAAAATCATGCTTTTAGGATACAGTTTGTGCTAGTGGGAAAGTCTAGGAGACCTGACAGTTCTCCAGAAAGAGATTACTGTCCTCTAGTGTTCCCGCTGCAAACTCTCTAGGCTTGCCAGCCAAGGAGGAGTTGGAGTAAAAACAGAACTACAAGAAAGGTGTATTCAGGGTGTGTATGTACATACACATGCACGCACCTGAAACAAGCTTCAAAAATGTTAAGCTCTAAATAAAGTAAGACTGAGAAAATAGCAGCAGCCCAGAAAAATGAAGAAAACAGATCGCTCCGGAAACAGAGGAAAAAGGGAAGGACGTAACTCTTTCACAGAAGAAAGAAAGAGAGGGGAAAAAAGAACATGAAGAATAAATGAGATGTTTACCTTCAAGGTTTTATTTGCATGCTCCAAATTCTCAGTGTAGTGGCCATAAAGCTCCAGATTCTCACAGAAATTTTGCAATCCCAGTCCTAAATCCCCTCTCTCCAGGTGAAGTGACAGAACACTGTACACAAGGAGCAAAGACAGCTCGTGAGGGGTACATTACTGATGGCATTTCCACAGGTCCCTCTGGTTCACTCCTATGCTGACCTTCCTTTGTCAGTCTCCACCTCACATCCAGCTTCTGTGCCAAATACATGCTTTGTGGTCACAGAGTAAGCTACAGAAAACATCCCTTAGAAATACCACAGAGCAGACTTACTGCGTTTAAATCACTAGCCAGAGAGCAACTGGGCATCCAGATATGTGGATACAGATCAACAGCCTCCTGGGTACACCTGCAAATGTCACCAAGGCTAGGAGTGCTGGAAGCAAATGCCTGTTTTACAAGGTGCTGGCTTTATTTCCTGAAATCTTACTTTCTCATCAATATAATTACTCTCTCACCATATAATTACAGGAATCGCTTCAGCCTGTTCACTTACTGGCTGGCTGCATATATGGATTCCACAGGTCCAAATATAGTTTCCAACACAGCAGGTTTCAGCGTCCCTTTGGCCTTTAAAATTTTCACAAAGAACTAAGGAGGAAAAAAAGAGAGAATTTCAAACAGATAAAATTCACCCAAAGGTTATTCTTGACACATGGCAGAAGCAAAAAGTTGCAGCCTACACACTCCTGAGCTCAAAAGGATATAAAATACTGTGAATGCCTACCTAAGATATCTATTAGGAGACGTAAGCTTTCTTAGTAACTTTGACCACAACTGTAAACATGTGGAACAGCACTACAGCATTGACAGAGTCTATTTCAGTATTTCTAGACACATTTGCTGTTCACTACCTTGTTCATGATCTATCTTTGTCCTGTCTGTGCCCCTATGTTTCATACATCTCAAGCATCTTAAGCTGAGTCCCCTCTACCATCAAAACTAAGATTTATGTCCAGGTATGGACTAAAGCCTAGGGGTCAAAACCATGAGCTGTGAGAGTAAAAGAAAAACAACAAAAAAACCTTTCAGTCCCAGCAGTTGTCCCACACAGTATGAACCTATCAAAGTCCCACTCCTGACCCTTCCCCAAGACAACACAAGTAAGTACATGCTGCCTGAAGGTACCCACATATCAGAAGAGGGCAAAATACTCACTGTGACCACCAAATCCAGCTGCTCAAGGTATCTGTATTCGGTTTCCAGCAATTCCTTGGCAGTCCGGCTGCGCTTTCTCTCCCAGCGAGCCCTCTGCTCTTCCACAGTGTTGGCTCCAGCCATAAATGGCAGGCATGAGTCACTCATGGCAGGCTCAGGGCCGATGTCCAGGCAGGTGAATGATCCTGGAGAGCCAGGAGAGATGGATACACAACCAAATAACCAGTGCCACAGGGTAAGATCCTGAGCTACAAACTCTATGCTTTACTATGAAAGACAGGAAGTTAATTGCCAGCAACTGTTATTCACAGTTTCCTTCTGCATTTCCACCCACAGGTACAAGAGCCCTGCATCAACCAGAGAAACAGTATTAGAAAGACCAGACCGTGAAACCAAGAGCAGTACATTATGATAGGTCTGTAAGCAAATCTCAAGGGTACAATCCTGCTTCCTGTGTTTTGCCTTATTGTGTATGCAAAGTTCTCAATGAACACAACGGAGTTAGTAGATGAAAGAAGTACTGTGGGTAGTAGAAAACAGCCATATGATTTGTCTTGGGGAAGGAAAGTGAGAAAGGTAGTGCCCTTGCTTGTTTTTCCAAGAGGGTTCTCAAGAAGCAAGTGGTTTGCACTTGGTCATTTTGTAACAGTAGTTTGTGGTTTCAGAGATGAGAGAGACTGAGCAACTGCTGTGAAACACACTGTCCATTTATTAACCAGCTTCGCTGCGGCTTGTCCCTTCCACAAGAGCATCACAGTTTCATAAAAGCAAAACCACTAACTCTTATCACCCTCTCTCAGAGAAAGAGGACTGCATTAGCAAAGCACTGGTCAAATATTGCTCTGCCTTTTGATCAAGGTCAGTGCTGGCTGTTGCACACTTGCCACAGCATGCAGTGTGCAGTTTCTCTGGAAGCTGAGCTACCTCCATGAAAGTTCTGGCTTGCACACAAATGAGCTATACCAATACAGAGAGATGTGTCACCTTAAGAGCAGGGAATTTGTCAAACACAGTCCTCCAGAGACATTTCAGATATCTAAATCAATGTCTGAAAAAAAGGCTTCACATCAAGTGAGTACCAGGACTCATTTAATGAGTTAGCAATAGTCCACATAGCTGAGGGACACACGCAGTATTTTATAGTAGCAGGAGCTCCTCCAGAGGTTTATCCTCATACTAGCTCAGGACACAACCACAAGCCCAGTCGAGGCCACATCTTGGTCAAATAGGGCAGAGCTGACAGCCCTGTGGACAGAGAGGCTGCCCTGCAGGGAATGTCATGCAAGAACTTAGCATTAGTGTATAGTTGCAAAGTACTCACCAGTAATCGACTAAAATGCTACCATCTGCAGAGCGCCTTTAGCCAGGGTAGGCTGCAGTCCTGATTTTCATTTGGCAGCCCAATTTCTTTTAACAATTAATAACAACAACAAAAAACCGTTATAACAGGTTTGACTGTCTCCCGCTCACATAAAGCGGTGCAAACATTCTAATTATTCCCAAATACTTCACATCCTAACTGTCTCAGGTCTGTAGGGTAGAGAGCTGCCTTGGAGCCCATGGGTAGACTAGAAAACACTTCACCTACAGGTGACAGAAGCACTCCAGCTTGCTTCTCTCTTCTCCAACTCAGAACAGAAACCACTGGATACTTTCTGTACAGTTAAGTACTTTATGGTGCCCCATTAGCAATATTCCCTGCAACATTTTTACATTTTCTCTTTTAAATATCCTCCAAAAAAAAAATCTCCCTTTATTCTGGCACCATAGCCTCAGAAGTGTTAACAGCCCCGTGGGCCAGCTCCAAGGCCCACACAGCCCCATACCCGGCCTCTGAGGACAGCGACTGCTGCGGAAGGGACCGCAGT